ACACAGAAGTGATCAAGCTGATACAGTATGCCTGGAGTTTCAAACAGCATTAGAAATCAAGCTTCCAAGAAATAAAAGGAAAAGTCCTCTTGTTAATTAGTGTCAAGTTAAGTGAAAGGAAGCGGGAGATAAAACATGCGGTCAATTGTCACACCAGTGAGATCCCCAAGGCATCTATACTGGAACTTACATTCCTGACTTGCAGAAATAGGCCATTCCTTTGTATAGGTGACTAACTTCATCCTCCTACTATTGAAGATCACTAAATGATGAATTATATTTTTTTTGTATTTATGGAATTTAAACGTTCTCTATTACTATGAAGGGAGACTTCTACAAGAGAGGGAGAGCCAGATAAAAATAGCTATAGCTAAATTCTGGAGAATGTCTTAGCACTATATGAAGTCAGCAATGTTTAGTGGTCAGCCTGGCAAAGGCAGCTCTAGATCAACAGCATCTTCACCATTATTTCATGTCTGCTCCTCATTAATAAGACAGCACTACCATGGACGGTTGTTTCAAGTGGGCAATGATTAAGTCAGACAGGAGACCAAGATCATCAATTGAGGTTGAATAGTGGCACTGTAACTCCTATTCTAAATGCAGTTATAAACTAACTAGGTATGTTCTTTTTTTTTCTTTTTTACTTCCAATTAACGGTTGATAGAGAGTAACAGACGAAACTCAGAAAGTCCAACATTTATCATGAAGAACGGTTTGTTGTGGGTTTTTTATTCCTTCATCCTGATCAGGATAAATTTGTGTTCCTTCAAACTGGATAAACTGACAGCACAAAAAAATAAAAATCTGTCACATTTTTGCTTCATGCCATAGAGACAAACGGCCATATGAACATCATTATCAACTTTATTTTGTCTTCCTCCAATGAAGATAACTATCTTCTGTCCTAGAAAAGAGAAGGTTATATTATACAGGAACAACAGCTGCTGAATCCAAAATGTTTTAACTCTGGGGGAAAAAAAAATAAATTACTCATCCTATTCAAAAAATGGAAAAGCTTCAAAGAAATCTGGAAATTTACCAGCTGTATCTGGAACTCATGTGTTCCTTATTCAGTTCAGAGTACTTTGGATCTACTTTTTTTGCTACTCATACAAAGAGCAATTATTAAAAGCTCCTTCTATTTCTGCCTATGCAATATATTCCCTGACTGTGGAATCAACTTTCAGGTAAAACAGTCCCCTTATTACACAGCTTTAGCATATCTGTAAGAACAGCTACCAGTAAACCAGAAGAGCTAGTCAGATCAGTATTTAGGCTTGTATATTTTCTACAAGCAGTGCCATACACTTTCCATTACTTTCAGCACCAGTATCACAGTTATTCCCCACAGTGAAGATTACAGTGCTCGGAAATAATGTTTGTCATCTCCATGAATTCCAAGAAAAGTCTTAGCTGCTGTTAGAGGATACAGTGTTGTCCTCCTCCAAAAGCTAACAAACTATCTTCTTATAAGACTACATTTGGAAGTGTGCTTTAAGCAAGAAAAAAAACCCATTATCTCCGTCTGCAGAACTGGGGAACTTGTTGTATGCAATACTCCTGACCATTGGTATACCAGGATTTTACATCAGACTAGTAAGTCCAGCAAAGTAGTTGTAAAACAAATCTCTCCCTTACATCTTATTTTCCAGCATAAAACCAAAAAAGGTTGCATACCAAGTTTCTTAGAAGAGGAATTGCATGTCTACTGATGAATTCAACTTTAAATTAAACAAAACCATCAAGAAAATTTGCAAAAACATCTGTCCTATTCCTCTGGGAACTTACCATATTACAGGCTCCTGCAGATGCTTTCACACAAACAAACAAAAAATCAATACTAGCAGTGCTTTAAAGGAGCCAGGTTTAACAATCCCTTACAACCACTGACTCATGGAGAAATACTAGGGAAGCATTCATATGCAATATTACTATGAGGGACTTTAAAAAAAAGAAAAAGAAAAAGGCAGTCCTTAAAGAGTTACTTATCTTGGAATCAAGTTTTCTGGTATTTGTAACTATGTTACAAATGAAGTGTGATATTTGACTGAAATTCTTTCTAGCTTGGGTTTAAATAGCAATCACAAAATACAAAAGAAAAAAGTGACTTAATGTGTAAGACACTCTTCTAGTGCTTTTAGGTATTTCATATTAATCCTAGTACAGCAAAAATTGTACAAAGTTTAATAGAATACATCTCATAGCTCTATTTGCAAGTGAGCACCAGACAGTTATTAAGACGCAAAGTATTCAATTTGTTCATTTTAGAATTATTCACATTGGTGCCTCTATCTAAATGAACTATTATGTCAGCAGGATGTTTTAGGAACTACTCAGTACGATAGGATATTCTTTAATCATGATTAGTTAGACTTACAAATGATTATGGAACATACAATGTGTTGCAGCTTTGGATCATTACCCAAGGAAATGTAATTCAGAAGTACAAACAATAATTATTTCTGTCACTCCTTTTACTGAAACATAGCTTTCTTTGATTAAGATACCGGTAAGTGAGCACAGCAAACATAAGATTTTCTAAATAGTTAATCTGATAAAGAATTAAATGAGCCTTTAACTGAGAAAGCTTAATCCTCCAAACAGCTTGCACACAAGTTATTCCACTTCCTAAGGAACGCCCACTAATACAATGGACTAATGGATGATTAAAGATGTATTTTCTATGGTGGCAGCCAGCCTCTGGGGCCCCCAGTCCTTTCCACACCTGTCAGCAGCACCAGCGAAGGACAGACAGACCCACGCAACACAAGAAACTCCACACTGTCCCTCCGAACAGCTGCATCCCACTCTTCCCACAGGCAGCAGTTGGCTATTGCTACAGTGTCTTGGATTTAGGAGACAAATCTGGAAGTTTGCCAGAATGTGATAAAGGCAGAGCATGCTGAGTTGCATGGACAAGCCACTAGGACAACCGTTAGTTTAGGAACATCATTCCGTCTCAGACAGCAGACGTCTATCAAAGAATATGAAAGCCAGCGGCAAGCATGGACAATGTTTTTCCCAGCCTGCAAGAGCTCAGGACCCTCCTTAATCACACACATCATCTTTGCATTTAGGAGCCCATTTTACTTTCATTAATGAGTCTGTCCATTTTCAGAATGGACATTAGCATCCAGTATCACCAATATTCCACTGCAAAGAGTTCCATTTAATTATCCACTGTGTGAAATGCTTTCTTTGTTTTCAATGTTTCCTCATTTCATTTGTACAAGAGTTTCATTTAAACACAGTGTTGCTATCAATCTGGTCCAAGAGGTGGTGGTAAAACTGCCTCTCTGAAGATGAAGGCATGGTTGAGAAGCAATGACTAGGTGTTATTTAGGAGAAACTATATGCACTGATTGAAAGTGAGACTGCACATTAACAGACACAAGATATAAACCATCAACATATATATGAAATCAACAGCAGCAATGACAAATAGTTCAGGCATTTCTTGGTAGACAACTACCACTCGATATAAAGGTTCACATGCAGTCCTCTACAAGCTTGTTGTCTGCCAAGCAGCATCCTCTGCTTCTGTCAGAACCAGTTAATTAAAGTGTAACAACGGGTTATACTGGAAAAGTTCACTCCTGTTTGCAAGAAGTAAATCTGCAGTGAAAGTTATAACTATTTAATTGCAGAAGGGAGAGCTCTGAATTATAGACATCCTTAGATATGGTTATTTCTGGTTGCTGAGCTCCTGTAGGAGGACAAGTGATTTCCTTCAAGTTGGAGATGAAACATTAAGTAAAACAATGTTTAGTAAAGATCAAGAAGACAGCTACAAGAACCTCTCAATTTTTTTCATTACTGTTGAGTGTGAACTTGAAATGGGTCTAAGTGCACTTTTTTCCCCAAAAAATTATAAGACAGTTAAAATACAAAAAACTGTATATTTTAAAACATTAATGTCTTTTCAATACCAGCTACACTCAGGACAGGACCATGGGAAATAAACAGGTAAGTCTACTTAAGCCATAAAAATGTCAGAGGAACATTGCCTCCTTTTAACTGCTTTGTCAGGTACATGACCCAACAGTACCCGCTAAGACAGCTTCAACATAATGACAAATTTTAACAAAAAACAACATGCACACCATAGAATTTAAGTTAATTTAATGTGACAGGTTCAAAACAGCTTTATGCAGTATTTGGAAAATTTACATACGAAAGAAAATTATACATCTTTAGGGTTTTGTGGAGTTTCCAACAGTAATTCCTTTGGATTTAAAGAAATCCAATGATAAATTCAACTTATGGTTAAAGAGTATTAACTTGTGTTAATCCTACAATAAAATACTACTATAATCCAGAGACAGGAACAAGAATCTAAACTAGTAAGATTAAAGACTTTTCAAGTGCCAAGCTAAAAATTGAAAATATCACAGTACCTCTGACTTACTATAGCTTTCTCCAAATATATTACAGAAATAATTGCATTAGTCAAAGCTCAGACAAAATTACTTCTTCACTCTCTCCAGAAACCATGACAGGCAATAGAGATTAATGAGATGTTAATGCTTTTAAAGACATTCACATGTATAGGTTTACTAGACATCTTTTCATTCTTAACATGTCTTTTCCATGCAAGTTGAAGCTTCAGCTTCAGGAAGGCCAACAGAAATATAGTATACAGGAGTTAAGGGATATGCTCGAAACGAATTTATGAAGCAGGAACCTAATGCACCAAATCTACCACTGCCATGGCATAGGAAATCCGTAATTACACACTCCAGCACAAAGCCTGGTAAGAATGTAGCGGGGATGGTTCCAACTCAGGGAAAACCATTTAACACTTACATGGAATAATACCTTTAAGGCTTATACAAAGCAACAGTGATAGAAGCAAGAAAATTTGACAGGTCTCTGCTGTACAAGCCATTTTCAAAGCTCTAAACAAGTTTAATTCAGATAAATAAAATTATTAAACTAAGAGTTAACTAATTATCTAGATGATAATTTTTCAGATAAACCATGTGGAAATATCTTACCTCTTCTCCCGAAAGATAGTAAGCTGAAAGTAGTCCACCGACAAAACGAATGTTCACTTCAAATACTGAAATTTCAGTATTCTGTTGAAATAAAAAAACATAGGTTTATTCCCTGATACTTTTCTGTATTATTTTGTTCATTTGATTTTATCTTTTTATACACATGCACATATTAAGCTACCACAGCCATAAACAGCAAAACACAGAAGATTCAGGGAAAGGCAACGTAAGTGAACTTAAGAGTATTTTAAAGTATTTGCTTCTCTTCCTCATGTTAACAAAATATCCTCTCCGTTATCCTCAGCCTGTTTAACTTTTCATCTCCACTTGGACATAAGGCATTCTCTAATTCTTAACACCTCTCTATGTGTTTCCTTACAGATGATTCAGTGCTCACACACAGAAAGTATTCTCAGATCACATGTCCCCACACTACCTCACCTCATACCATCTCTTCTCAGACACTGTATGAGAAGTTCTTGATCAGAATGTCATATCAAGAGTTTTCCTACTTTGGTCCAAATGCAGGTTATTGTAAGTGGGAGGTAACATTAGAATGAGTCAATTACATGTTCATGACAAAAATGTAATCATGACTTGTATTCACTAGGAAGCAGATGATCTTTCACTATTACAGTGACAGCCCTTCCCAAGCTGACCTGGTCTTTACCAATGATAGAGACTACATTTGTTGTACTGAGCAGTATAGGTGCAGCCATTACCTATTTCAAAACTCAAAGCACATTCTTCTCTGCCTGTTAAAATTCAAACCTAAATGAAGAATCTGACTCTCATGATCACTACATTCTCTTGTTATTTACCAAGTCAATTCCAAGTTTACCCCAACACACAACATTCAATCCACTCAAGAGGCATTCGGTTGAAAAGCTGTCTACTGAAGTTTCCTAATTTTCACTTCTTATGTGACACTATTTTTTATATTTTTGTATTTCTGTAGAAAAATGGTACCCGGCAGTCTATCTTCTAAATTTTTGGGCACATAAATAAGGTGTTTGTCTTTCATGCGTTCTGGGTTGCTCTTGCTTCTATTGAATTGTTTTTCCATCTTTTATTTGCTGACATACACCATAGCTATATTTAATATAAATCAATGCATAGTGGAGCTGAGGGATTTTCTCTCAAAGGGCTTGCCGGCTTTTCTCATTCAGCTAGTTTTTGTACTTTTCCAGTTTAAATGTTCAGATGCCAGCTTATGTAGGAGGGAAGAAGTTGCTCCCTGTTTTCTACGGATTTTAAAGTCCAGTAAACTGCCTTTGCAGAAGAAAACAGCACTAGGTTACTTATTAGAAATATTACTTCATGCTTTTCAGTATGCAAGGCACCCTGATTAAAGAAAGGCATCTAGACACGTTGCGAGGAGTTGTTCAGCATTTCATCAGTTGTAAATACAGACTTCAAAAAACACTCACAGACTTGCTAGTTCACTTACCTTCAGGCATTCAACTTTTCTCCTCTAAAATGTGTTCTGCACCTCCCCCTCTAAAAATTGAGGATATAATTTGATTCACAGGATTGCCCTGATTAATATATAATTCATACAGTATATATGTGTGTGCCTATGTAGTTTTTTTTAATATACATGAGACAATTCAAAGGGGCAAAGTAAAGCCATCACACACATCTGCTTATTGAAAATTCAGACCTGATATCACATGTTAAGATTGCAAACTGAAAAAGTTATCTTGCTGTCTTGCACTGTTCAGAACATAACATTTTTCCAAGTTTATTTTAAGTATACTAAAACTCTGAAGTTTCTCCTCACTCACTGCTCTCCCAATACTGGTCTACTCTTATTCTTTCTGAAAGAAACTACAAAGGAAAAAAAAAAAGAGAGCAAGCTTAATCTCAGTTTCCAAAATTAATCTGGTATTTCTGCTTCCAAATATTCTGTCATCGTCTCACTGAGTCCAGCAAGAAGGAGAATGAAGTAACTGGAAACAGGTATTCACTTAAATTTTATCTAGTGCCATTTCTGTGCATTTCTTTTTATTATACCATGATATATGTTAAACCTGGGGAGACAGATATGAAAACATTTAAATCCTCTAGAAATCTGAACCAACTAGACAATACAGCTGTTCACCTGCTAAGCAAGCTACCTCTGTAAGAGCTCTACATTAAATAAAGAAGTCTACTTTAACTAAATTGAATGCATAAAACAGCTTGTAGAGAACTGATCTCACTTAAGAAATGCTGATCTGATCTGACTAAAGAAAGGATGATTAAAGGAGCGATAGGGGCAGCTTCTTTCCCTGGAGCTTCAGCTAGCTTAAGCTACTGAAAAATAGTATTTTATTTGAGAACCTTCTTCAGAAGTTCAGGTTCTTTCCATTTCAATCCTGAGATTCAGCACATGCCAAGAACTATTCTTTGATGTTGTTGAAGCTGTAAAGAAGTAGGTATCAGACCAGGTAATCAGTTTTCAGATATCCCAGACACTTGTGTTTCCTTTAAGGACTGAATTAAACTACTTTGTGATTTTGAATTGCTCAAAGTAAATAGAGTGATATATGAGCTGAATATTTTGTCTCCAGAACCATACATTTTGTCTTTCTGGATTTAATATGGCTGCTTCACTCACAAACCATTGCAACCTTTCAGGGAATGCAAAGGCCCTTTAAGAAAAGCTCAGTAGGTATGCACTGACAGATGCTTCTGGAAATCAGTTATAGGCAAAAAGAAGACTTTGAACTAATGTGAGTAAAGATTTTACTGTCAAACCACAAAGATTAATTGCACTGTAATCCTGAGCACTTGCTGAAGTGGTGAACTTTCAGACATTTCTTGAAGCTAACCATTGTTTTAATGTTATCAGATTTCCAATACTTCACTTGCACACATCTCTGAACCTTTGTTCAAAATCTTCACCTCTTACTAAAATCTTTATATAAGCCACTGATGCAGACGCAATTAATGAAATGTACAGACATTTCATTAATTGTAGATATGAAAGCTGTATGCTTAATACATATTTTTTCTTAAACTCATTATACCGGGCTAGTAGTATTCTCAGAAAGCACAGGAATTATAGCAGTTTGCAAAACAGTTAAAGTAGTTTTATAATTTCATGTCAAAGAAACATTCATCTCTACAGGGAAAGTTTGTGTGAAGAAGTAGTCTGTTAAGAAAAGTGAACTTACCCTAAAAGTAGCAGATTTCTGCTACATCAAATTTACCCTTCTTTCCGGTTTGATTTTTAAAATTTTTTATATTGCGTATTTAAGACGCCACACCTTGATCATTACCCTCTTCATATTTTAATCATCACCCACATACAGATTGCACAAATAACCCTGTATATTTCCATTCAGCAGTCAAATCCTAAGCAATGTTATTTTTTATTTTCCTCTCAGATTCAGCTGTACACAAATACCTTATGATCCATTTAACAGTGACAAAACATATAGGAAAAACATTCATCTGCACTTCCCAAAGTTTCTACTTCACCAGCTGAAAAGGCCAGAATTATTTTATTTTTTATTTCAAGTTTAGCCTTCTCTCTCAAACCATTACCTTATTACATAGAAGGTCTGAGAAGTGGTTGAATTAATTCCATTGTATCTAATGGAACTTCTATAAGGAGAAGCAACTGGACACGTTTATTTTAAAATGATGACAATGGTTTTTTTAATCTTTTGTAAGATCCCAAGTACATAAGATGGCTCTGGCCAATGGGATAGATATAATTTCTAATTTTACAGTCTTTTCATTAGTACCCCAATTAGAATGCATGGCCATGTGCTGTGTACAACAACATCTGAAACACCTTTCTTAGTACATGTCTGTGCTAAGCACTTATCGTTCCTATGCAATATCATGCTCTGGCTGCTAATTTTGGAGGCCATCCTTTTATAAAGGATTCTGAAATTATGTAGATGCTTGGGAAAGTGATATGTATATTGGGAACAACGTATTTTTGTTTTACTTCCAGGGCTTTTATGTTAATTGATGTATGTGAGTAATTTGGCCTTTCATCTTACATTTGATCAATAATTCATCATTCACTATTTGATCTTCTGGTAAGTGAATCATAAATGGTATAGTCCCGGTACTATATGAAATCCAGATAAATTGTGACTGCTGCTCACTGTACTTAGAGAAATAGAAAACTGAAAGCAATATATGTACCCATTACATGGTGCAAGAGTAAAACTGTGACAACTTGATGGAATTTCATCTGGTTTCTTTGATTAGCTTCTAAAGACAAAATTATTTTGACAAAGAGATGTAACATCCTTTACACTGCTGGCTAGACACGTAACACCAAAGTGAATCCATTTACTTAACGTGGAGACTGCTCTTTCTCAAACTCAGGCTATGCAAATAAGCCAGTCACTGCAATCAAATGATGAAACATTTTGTCTTCACATGAAGAAATGCTAAAATAAGTGGATTTTTAAGCAAGAGAAGAACCATAGCTCAGAAACACTCAAGAAGCTGTAGAACACGAAAGATTTAACTAGTAAGCCTATTAAACTAGCTCCTTTTAAAGAAAGGGTGGTGCTCTATACATTAGGAAGCCTCATCTTCAAAAAGCAACAAATATTACCAAATGGGAAAAAAAAAAAAAATAAAGTGCTAAGAGTTACATTAACTAGCTTGTGTTAACTCTGCTTTTGTGTGTAATTTGCAAACCTATGACAGGGACAATCTGATCTCAGCTGCACCTCACCACTTCACTTCCCTTACCCTTCTGTAAACTGGAGCATTGTCTACAACTGGTAAACTACTGAAGCTTCAATCAGCTGTGGTTGAATTTAATGTTGAAAGCACTGTTCAGACAACAAAACTACTGTCAGCTGGGCTCTCCTGAAGCCCTTCTCCTATTGGACTTGTTCAGTTTCCCAAAAATCAGTATTCACATCCTTCTGGATCATTTCCTTAACACAGCTCTTTCCTGAAAGTCTTCCTCTCCACAGATTCATAGACCAAGGCCAAAACAATTTTCATCTGTGTTTTCTCATGGGAAGTCAATCTCACTTATAAACACAACATTTGAAATACAACCCAAATTTGTTTCTCTAGTATCAGCTTCCACCACTCATCAGCATTGGTACTTG